TGAATTAGTTCCCTTTTTGCATGCAGGATATTTTAATGAACTTGAAACAAGCGAGATAAACGTTATACATACTTAACAATATCCTAAGTAATTTGCATCAATTTTCTTGTTTTGATACTACAGATAATTATTATTGTTATTATAAGAATTTTCAAATCAATTTCTGTCTATTCCAGGCTCTTGGTTTAATGTGATGATATGAACCAAAAGTGACGTTATCTGTTTGAAAACAAAGCCCCCGGGTTCTGGGTAATTAAGAAAACGAAAAATGGTAAAAAGAAGCGCGGCCTATTAAATTGGATTGTTGTGTAGCACCGATTTAAAAGTGTAATCTCCTTCGAGAAAAAAAAGGGGGCTTTTCGGGGACCGCGCGGCAAAGGCCCATACGAAAATATTATACACACGAAATCATTACAAAAATTGATCGGGGCCCCTGAACTTGACGTGTTCGGGTTACCCAGACATGTAGGCCTGTCCTCGTCCGGAGTAATTGATGGTCGACGTAAAAAAAAAAATGTCAACTTATTATCTTCGAGGCTATTTTTCCCGTAATCGATCATTCTTTTAATATATTGTCAATAAATTACTTAATTGTAAACACGATCGTCAAGACTATGCGGTACTTTTATGTACGACTAATTAATTATATTATCGTCGAGGTAAGGTGTGAAATTATCACACCAGAAAAAGAGGTTCTTACGCTGGTCTTTTCCCTCTTGTGCAAAGATTTCTTTGATCTGGAACAGTATTTGTAATTGTGCCAAATACGGTCCATATAAAAGTGCGACCTTGAACAAACCCCGCCTCAAATAAGGGCATGACTTACTAAATCTTCAGTTGCTATTGGTCCATGAAATGTCATTTTAGTACAGGACTGTATTAGGCTAATTAAGTAAAACATCAAGATGTATCGATTAAGATGTTTAAAAGCAGTTGATGAATTTGGAGTGGAAAAATTCCAAATACATACAACGATAGCCAATCAAATAAAAATTCATTACATCAAACTAATTACTCAATGCGGCGTGCAAGGAAGATGTATTATTCACATTTTTTCCGAGAAAAACAGAGTCGCAAACAAGCCAATCATCGGTAGATAGCTGTGCAGTACTTTTAAAAAGGCCAAGCAACAACCAACGTAGAAAATTCCTCTACGCGGTGCAACGAATATGGCGTCCTAATAGGAAAGATTCTTAATTCTCGGAAAAGTGCAGATTAAGTCATTTGCGGCGAATTCACATGTATACGCACACACACAGCTGGCTTGGCTCTTTGGCTTTACGGAATTATCAGAGGGAACGGTTAAAAGAAAACGCAAACATGTCGGTGCTGCAGGTTTTTATGGCACATAACAATTACCGAGGCCTGATGGGCGAACCAAAGATGAAAAATGCCTTTTGTGAACTTCTGTATGTATTTATCTTTTTCTGTGAGTTTCGCGGCTTCTTGGGCCGATTTGATTATCATTTTTTGGTTGTTTGTTTATTGAATTTCACTTGTCGTTTGATTTGAATTAATCTGGCCGCATTCTAGGGATCGAGTTGTTTACGTCAAGTACGTAACTATTCGAGGAATTTTTATTGTAGTAAACCAAACTTCTAGATAAATTCGGACTATGAATGGCGCGTATATAGTAGTCAATTCAAAGTAGCCTGAAAAATTTCACTTTTCCTAATGCATTTTTAAATAAACCTCGCTAAATTCTAGGAATTGAGTAGTTTACGTCCAACGTAACTATTCATTCATGAATATTAACTTTGAAAACGATCCATAAAATCAATTTAAATATGCACTCTTGCACTCTTATATTTTTCTAAAGAACTGTTTAGGAGAACATTTTGAAATTTTCAACATAGAAAGAAGAAGGTTGGAGGCACATTATATTAAAATTTTAAATATATCCAACAACCACATGAACAGTTCTTGGGCTTAGACTATGAAAATGACCAATAAAATTAATATAAATAGGAACATCCTCCAGCATTTTTATATTTCTCCAAAGAACTGTTGAAGAGACCATTTTGAAACTTTCAGTATAAAAAGAGGAAGGTTAGAAACCCATTATACTAGAATTTTGAATGAATCCCACAACCAACTGAAAAGCTCTTGGGCTTAGACTATGAAAATGTTCGCTATAACAACACTCACCAGTCGCCACAGTTAACATTTTCCGGTAGTTGATCAATACTTCGCTCTTGACCAAGGAACTGATCGAACTACTGAACCTGAACCAACATCACAATAACAAGGAACTTACAACTAAACCTGAACCAACATGACAATAACATTATGGAGCATACATACAGAGAAAGATATATGCCAGCTATAATAGGAATAACGAATAGAAGATAGATTAAAAGGGTGAACGAATAAAAAGGCAAGAAAACGGAGGCCATATTCCCTCCTGGAACGGGGTAAAGGACCAATATAGTCCAAGCTTATAACCTGAAATGGCTCAGTGATCTGAGGTTGCTCACCCATTAATCCAGCCGGACGCTTCTGTTCAACTTTACTCTAGGCACACAGCACACAAGCTCGGACATACCGAACAACATCTGCTTTCATCTTTGGCCAATAATAGTCTTGACTCTTGACGAACATTTCCATAAATCTTTGGAACAACTACTTTCCAGTTGTCAGTAGAAGACAACTGAGGAACAATGTGTTTTACAAATTTATATAGAATTCCATTCTGTACTTGCCACATAGAAAATATATATGTAATCCAAGTTTACCCAAACTAACCCGTCCGCCCTCTAAATGATCTTTGAAAAAATGTAGGATTTTCCTCGATCTTCCGAAGCATGGACAAATACTACTGATCGCTGATAGTAGTTGAAAAGAATTCTGGTGGGTCAAAAGTATGGACGTGGACAGAGATAGGTACCGACCTATAGAGAGGAAATCGGGAACAATGTGGTCTTTTTCCTTTGAGTTCAAAATCAAATTGACGTAACTGCCAACGCCCTTGCGGATCTTTTAGTCTATGAAGCCACAACAGCAAGGCATGGTCCTTTATGACTTTAAAGTGGACGTGGTCTCAGTAGTGACGTAGTTTCTCAACGTTCCAAATCACGGCGAGGCATTCCTTTTCGGTAACCGATAATTTAATCTCTTGTTTAGTCAGCGATCAAGAAAGGTAACTCCAAGCCCATACGAAGATGCATCAGTTTGCAGGTATAAGGTTCTTTCGAAGTACGGTGCTGTCAAAACAGGCGCTGTTACCAAATATTCTGTGGACGATTTCTGAAATTCAGGGGTCCAAGAACACTTGACATTCTTTTTAGTAAGATTTAATATAGAAGCCAGTAGGTACAGTAGATCAATTCGGGACAAAACGCTGGTACTAAGAGGCAGTACCTACAAAACGACGTTGCTCATTGAGGTTGGAAGGAACTGGAATATCAATTATCGCCTCAACTTTCTCAAGGTCTGGTCTTAATCCTTTGCTGTCAACTAAATAACCCAGGTACCTCAATTCGGGCTTGCAGAAACTACGTTTATCTACTGATACGACGATAAAATACTTCCCCAAGGAGCCTCAAATGTTTAGAAAAGGAAGTGGAAATGATGACAATGTCATCAAGGTAAATCATGACGTTCGGTTCGAGTTCTGAATCCAATATACTATCGACTATCTGAACCCAATATACTATCGACTATCCTCTGTCATGTCGCGGGAGCATTAGTTAAACCAAATGGCATTCTTTCAAATTGGAACAGTCCTCGACCAGGAACAGTAAACGCAGTGTATTCTCGAGAACCTTCATGTAAGGTAACTTGCCAGAAAGTTAATTTTACGTTCATGAAACTGATAAATCGGGTAGCGCGCAATCGATCCAGAATCGTTGATATGTGTGGAATGGGATAAGCATCCTTTTTGGTCTGTGAATTTAATTTGCGAAAGTCAATACAAAAACGGAAGGAACCCTGTGGCTAAACACACATCCATCTTCAACATTTCCTCCACTTCCTCATCGATAAACTTCCACTTGAAGGGAGATAATATCGATGTTTGATCGGCCTGGTTCCGGATTCGAGAATGATTTCATGCTGAGCAACCCTGCAGCATCCTAATCCATCGCCCATTTTGTAAATATTTTTCTTAACCAAGGAATTTAAAGCCTGACCGTTCGCTATAACAACAGTTAGAAGCCCATTATACTAGAATTTCAGATAGATCCAACAACCACATGCTTAGACTATGAAAATGACCAATAGAATTAATATATCCTCATGCACTTTTATATTTTTCTAATGAACTTTTGAGGAAAACATTTTGAAACCTTCAATATAGAAAGAAGAAGATTAGAAGCCCATTATACTAGAATCTTGAATGGATCCAACAAGGGCTTAGACTATGAAAATGACCAATAAAATTAATATAAATAGGAACATCCTCTTGCACTCTTATATTTTTCCAAAGAACCGTTGAGGAGAACATTTTGAAACTTTCAGTATAGAAACAGGAAGGTCAGAAGCAAAGGTTAAATAATTGTAATAGACATTCAAATATTTATTTAATTTTTGCTATATTTGGAATATTTGTTTGATCATTATCTCAAAGTCAAATCACTTTACCTATTTGACAATAATAATCCTGATTTCAGCTACTATTTAATTTAAAACTTAAATAATTCAGTAGCAATTCTTAAACCGAAAATTAATTCTTATTTAATGCTAATCCTAATGATCCTGTGTAACGTATGCAATGATGTTCTACCACGGCGGTCGCCATTTCGCAAAAGCCACCTAATCTGACAGATCTTTGTCCACTTGACAAAAAATAATATTTATACATACAACATAGGCTTCTGCTTTATTACAAATGAAATGATCTTGGGATTATTTATTATTACAAGAAAAATCCTAAAATTGAATAGTTTTATTGTTGTTATCTCGTAATAAGGTTTAATAATAGCATAGGTAAATAAGGCTCGAGCATCCGCAAATACAAGATAAATTACGCAAGAGGAGGTTATAAATGCTGGCGAAAATGGCTGGACTGATTTAAGTATTTATTTCAAAAGATGTTACTGTTACCATTTTTCAAAGTTAATCAAGGATATTTTTATCAGTATTTCGCTACCCTTGCTGGTAAATATATTGCACAGATTTAAATTTTGACACTTTTTTCTATTTCATTCAATCAGAGAATTATAAAATTTGTTAAAATCCAATTAAATTGTTTGTTTGATGGTCTACATTTAAATCCATTCCTGGCTTTGGAATTTTCTTAATTTCTACTCTCAAAATTTATCTTTTTCTATAGTTTTATTTAAAAAAGTTTGCACAAAAATTCAAATGAGAAAATTGAGAAACAGATATGAAATTTAAGACAAAAATAGACGCAGAATTTCCTCTATTCCAGGCTCTCATGTTTTCTCAATTTTTTTTTTTTGGAATTTTTTCTATTTAGTGAAGATTACGAGAGAATAAAAACTAACACAAACAAAAATCTAGAAGAAAAATTAGACAAATTGAGAGGAAATTTAAGGCATATTGAGAAAAAAATTAAGACAAATATAGGCGCAGAATTTTCTCTATTCCAGGCTCTCATATTTTCCCCATTTCTAAAGTCACCTGTACAAAATACTTCCAATGATCATAATGACTTGAAGCTTTCAGGCTTTGGGAATTGAAGTTTCCTCTTTGTGGTACAGTTAATTTGTAATTGATTTGAAGCTTTAAATCAAATTAAGAAGCTTTTTTTTGAATTATTGTATGCAAAAATCACTCGTGCAAAATACTTCCTATGATTCAGAGCCGGCACAAGTAGGTACATAACGAGAATACTTGCAGCACAAGTATAAAATTAATATATTTAATAGATTAACTTGAAGTACAAGTACAAGTACATAACAAAAAAAGTAATTTTGGTAAAATACTTAAAGTACTTATATGTATAGTATTTCCAAACTCAATTGGAACAAGGTACCAACTGGTGGCTGACTGGTCAATGAAAATTTTTATAAGAAATGTACTGCCACTAGTCAGCCACCAGTTATGATTTGTTTCCACCTTGTTCCAATTGACTTTAGAAAAACTATACTTGAAGTAGAATTTCAAATAATTTACTTCAAATATTGACAGCTCTGCATACAGTAAATCTAAATACCATTGAATCACTGCAAGCTCGTAAGTAGGTATTTAACTATACCTAAATAGCACTCCAGTGCAGTTGCAAATAGATACATGGGCTACTATAGGAAACTTCTAGTTTACAAGCATCTGGGGTATATTTCAGTATTTTATCAGAATTAACTTGCAAAATTCCATTCAAAGGCAAGTCATATACAGGAACATGTTTTGTCACTCTCATCAGGAATCTCAATTTATAAAGAATCGACTAGATTAAGAAATTAAATTCATGGAACATACCAATCAACTCAATTTGCAATAACAACAAAATTGATTACCTAGGTATTTAATTAAAGATATAACTAGTTTTTCATTGACACTCTTGGAAAATGCACAAAGTAGATTTTTTATTCACAGAGGAGTAAAGCAAGTGTTTTGTTCCAAAATACGGTAATGGATCAAGTCGATGTGGAACTTAGAAGATTGCAAAATTTGTCCATCATATCCAAAGTGGCATATTTTGACTGGGCAGCACCGAGACTTGTTTCCAGAAACCAACTGCTGAAGACATATTTTCCAAACTGGTAAATGCCACTGTAGATCTTTTTGACGCATTTCTTCAAATTGAAATATATGAAAATTCCAAACAATATTTAACCATTATTAATACACATCAAGGCCTATTTCAATATAATAGAATGCCTTTTTTTGTCAAAGTATAGTACCGGCTATTTTCCAACAGATTATGGATAATTACAAGGTTAAAAGCTACAGCATATATCGATGACATTCTGGTTTCTGAACAGAATTCTGATGAACATCATTATCATAATGTTCTCAAACGACTTGAAGATTTCGATAGTTGAGAAACGTATGTTTGAAGTTGATATTTGGGATATATTCTGAATACGCAAGTATAAAGCCAGGCCCTTCAAACTATTCAGTGAAATGTTTCGTCGTTAAGATCTTTTCTTGGAGCCATAGATTACTATGGAGCATTATTACTTTGGAAAACCCATTGGATAAACTTTTGAAGCAAGACGAGAAATTCGAATGGACATTTGAACAGTTCAAGAAAATTCTTCAGTCAGATCTTCTACTTACTCACTACAATCCACAAGAACAGATCATTGTAGCAGCAGACGCAAGCAATCTGGGTTTTATGAGGACGTATTTTTCATAGGTTTGACGATGGAACAGAAAAAGCGATCTATCATGTCTCTAGAACTCTGACAGATACAGCCAAATTAAAAAAGAGGCTTTAGTATTAGTTTTCGCAGTTAAGAAATTTCACAAGATGGTATATGATCACAAGTAATTTTTGGATCAAAAAAAGAAGTTCCTTTATACATAGCCAAGGGGTAAACCACTATCCCAGAATTGGTGCAAACAATTCCTCAAAGGGGATTTTTTTTCGCATAATTCCTCAAAATTCCTGCAAATTCGTCCAAATTCCTCCAGATACCCCATCACAAATTCCTCCAAATACCCCACCACGAAGTTCTCCAAATACCCCACAAATTCCTCTGAAAGAAGGGAAAATTTTGAAACTTTCTGCATGTCAAGAGGAAGGTGAGAAGATCATTTTCCCAAAACTTAAAAGTTTTCCAGCAACATGAAAAATCTTGGAAATCAACCTACACAAACTGAATTAGTTAAAAATACAGTCTCCCACATTTCAAAATTTTCCTGGAAAACTAGTGAAGGGAACATTTTGAAACTTTTTCCATGTAAAGTGAAAGGTGAAAAGCTGATTTTTCCAATATTTCAAAATTTTCCAGTGGATAACAGCAACATAAAAAATCTTGGAAATCAACCTACAATAACTGAATTAATTGAAAATACAGTCTCCACATTTTAAAGTTTTCCTGGAAAACTAGTGAATGGAACATTTTCAAACTTTTTGCATGTAAAATTGAAGGTGAGAAGCTGATTTTCCCAATATTTCAAAATTTTCCATTGGAAAACAGCAACATGAAAAATCTTGGAAATCAACCTACAATAACTGAATTCATTGAAAATAGAGTCTCACACATTTCAAAGTTTTCCTGGGAAACTATTGAAGGGAACATTTTGAAACTTTTTGCATTTAAAGAGGAAGGTAAGAAGCTCATTTTCCCAAAATTTTAATTTTTCCAGTGGAAAATAACAACATGAGGAATACTGGAAATCAACCTACAATAACTGAATTAATTGAAAATACAGTCTCACAGATTTCAAAGTTTTCCTAGTAAACTAGTAAAGCGAAAATTTTGAAACTTTTTGCATGTAAAGAAGAAGGTGAGAAGCTCATTTTCCCAAAGTTTCAGATTTTTCCAGTGAAAAATAACAGCATGAGAAATATTGGAAATCAACTTACAATAACCAAATTAATTGAAGATACAGTATCACATAATTCAAAATTTTCCTAGAAAACTAGAGAAGGGAAAATTTTATAACTTTTTGCATGTAAAGAGGAAGGTAAAAAGCTCATTTTCCCAAAATTTTAATTTTTCCAGTGGAAAATAACAACATGAGGAATATTGGAAATCAACCTACAATAATTGAATTAATTGAAAATACAGTCTCACACATTTCAAAGTTTTCCTGGAAAACTAGTGAAGGGAAAATTTTTAAAGTTTTTGCATGTAAAGAGGAAGGTGAGAAGCTCATTTTCCCAAAATATGAATTTTTTTTAGTGGAAAATAACAACATGAGGAATGTTGGAAATCAACCTACAATAACTGAATTAATTGAAAATACAGTCTCACATATTTCAAAGTTTTCCTGGAAAACTAGTGAAGGGAAAATTTTAAAACTTTTTGCATGTAAAGAGGAAGGTGAGAAGCTCATTTTCCCAAAATTTCAATTATTTCTAGTAGAAAATAACAACATAAGGAATATTGGAAATCAACCTACAATAACTGAATTACTTGAAAATACAGTCTCACATATTCCAAAGTTTTCCTAGAAAACTAGTGAAGGGAAAATTTTGAAACTTTTTGCATATAAAGAGAAAGGTGAGAAGCTCATTTTTCCAAAATTTCAAATTTTTCCAGTAGAAAATTACAACATGAGGAATCTTGGAAATCAACCTACAATAACTGAATTAATTGAAAATACAGTCTCACACATTTCAAAGTTTTCCTGGAAAACTAGTGAAGGCAAAAATTCGAAACTTTTTACATGTGAAAAGTAAAAAGGTTGAAGGCTCATTTTTTGAAATTTCAATTTTTTCCAGTGGAAAATTACAACATGAGGAATCTTGGAAATCAACTTACAATAACTGAATTAATTGGAAATACAGTCTCACACATTTCAAAGTTTTCCTAGAAAAATAGTGAAGGGGAAATTTTGAAACTTTTCGCATGTAAAGAGGAAGGTGAGATCATTTTTTCAAAATTTCAAATTTTTCCAGTGAAAAACAGTAACATGAAAAATCTTGGAAATCAACCTACAAAAACTGTACTCATTATTCTTTTGAATTTTTTAAATTTGACAATTTCCTTTAAATTCCTCAAAAATTTTCCCAAATTCCCCATAAATTCCTCCAAATTCCATATAAATTCCCCAAATTCTCATAAATTCCGATGAGTTCCTACAAATTCGCCACAAATTCCTCCAAATTCCCCACATTTTTGGCAAAGAATTCCTAAGTGGTTTGCCCCTTGTACACAGCAAACCGATTGCAGAGATGGGCTCTAGTGTTAGTGTTCAAAACATACGATTTTAAAATTGAATACCTATATCAAAACCACAGAGTTTGAATGTATTAAGAAATATTTTACACCATACATTCAATATTCATGGCATTTCAAACATCAACAAAATGCAGATGAAACAAAGTTTTACTCACGAAGAGATGATCTGTCTATAGTACGAGAATGTTTGATGTTTGCAAGCCGAATAAAAGTTCATTGTTATCAAGTTTTCAAACAGTTACATCAAGAACATTGATGATGACATCACAAAATTTGTTCTAAATTGCTCTTTATGTGAAGAACCTACAAGGACACCAAGAAAAGAGATATCACCTT